TGTCTCCCAGTTGCTCCCAGTTGCTCCCAGTTGCTCCCAGCTGCTCCCAGGTGCCCGGGGGTGGATGTGCTGTGAGTGCCCACCCCTGAGTCCCGCTGAATCCCAGTTTCTCTCAGCCGCTCCCAGTTGCTCCCAGTTTCTCCCAGTTTCTCCCAGTTGCTCCCAGTTGCTCCCAGTTGCTCCCAGCCGTCCTGGGTGCCCGGGGGTGGATGTGCTGTGAGTGCCCACCCCTGGGTCCCGCTGAATCCCAGTTGCTCCCAGTTTCTCCCAGCCGTTCCCAGTTTCTCCCAGTTTCTCCCAGCTGCTCCCAGTTTCTCCCAGCTGCTCCCAGTTTCTCCCAGCTGCTTCCAGGTGCCCAGGGGTGGGTGTGCTGTGAGTGCCCACCCCTGAGTCCCACTGAATCCCCGTTGCTCCCAGTTGCTCCCAGTCTCTCCCAGTCTCTCCCAGTCTCTCCCAGTCTCTCCCAGTTCCTCGCAGCCGTTCCCAGTTTGTCCCAGTTGCTCCCAGTCTCTCCCAGTTGCTCGCAGCCGTTCCCGGGTGCCCAGGGGTGGGTGTGCTGTGAGTGCCCACCCCTGGGTCCCGCTGAATCCCAGTTGCTCCCAGTCTCTCCCAGTTGCTCCCAGTTGCTCCCAGTCTCTCCCAGTTGCTCGCAGCCGTCCCGGGTGCCCGGGGGTGGGTGTGCTGTGAGTGCCACCCCTGGGTCCCACTGAATCCCAGTTTCTCTCCCAGTTTGTCCCAGTTGCTCCCAGTCTGTCCCAGTTGCTCCCAGTTTGTCTCAGTTGCTCCCAGTTTCTCCCAGTTGCTCCCAGTTTCTCCCAGTTTCTCCCAGTTTCTCCCAGCTGCTCTCAGTTGCTCCCAGCTGCTCTCAGTTGCTCCCAGTTGCTCCCAGTTGCTCGCAGCCGTTCCTGGGTGCCCGGGGGTGGGTGTGCTGTGAGTGCCCACCCCTGGGTCCCGCTGAATCCCAGTTGCTCCCAGTTTCTCCCAGCTGCTCCCAGCTGCTCCCAGTTTCTCCCAGTTTCTCCCAGTTGCTCCCAGTTTCTCCCAGTTGCTCCCAGTTTNGGTTGGATAATTTGGACTGGCACAGGTAGGACTGGCACAGGTTGGGTTGGCACAGGTTGGGTTGGCACAGGTTGGATTGGGACAGGTTGGACTGGCACAGGTAGGACTGGCACAGGTTGGACTGGCACAGGTTGGGTTGGATAATTTGGACTGGCACAGGTAGGACTGGCACAGGTTGGGTTGGCACAGGTTGGGTTGGCACAGGTTGGATTGGCACAGGTTGAGTTGGCACAGGTTGGACTGGCACAGGTTGGACTGGCACAGGTTGGGTTGGCACAGGTTGGGTTGGCACAGGTTGGATTGGGACAGGTTGGACTGGCACAGGTAGGACTGGCACAGGTTGGACTGGCACAGGTTGAGTTGGCACAGGTTGAGTTGGCACAGGTTGGACTGGCACAGGTTGGACTGGCACAGGTTGGGTTGGCACAGGTAGGACTGGCACAGGTTGGACTGGCACAGGTTGGGTTGGCACAGGTAGGGATGGCACAGGTTGGACTGGCACAGGTTGGCCTGGCACAGGTTGGACTGGATAATTTGGATTGGGACAGGTTGGACTGGCACAGGTTGGACTGGCACAGGTTGGACTGGCACAGGTTGGATTGGGACAGGTTGGACTGGCACAGGTTGAGTTGGCACAGGTTGGATTGGGACAGGTTGGACTGGCACAGGTAGGGTTGGATAATTTGGACTGGCAGAGTTTGGGTTGGCACAGGTTGAGTTGGATAATTTGGACTGGCACAGGTTGGGTTGGCACAGATTGGACGGGCTGAGCTGCCCCCAGGACCTTTGGGTGGGACCCACCCAGAGCTGCCCCCAGGGACCTTCGGGTGGGACCTTTGGGACCCAGGACCTTTGGGTGGGACCCGCCCTGGTCCCGAGGGTCTCCCAGGGCCCTTTGTGCTGAGTCAGCGAGATTTTGGGATGTTGGGAAGGGAAGGACACCCTCCCCCTCCCCAGGGTGGTGACTGAGCTGCCCCCCCAGGGACCTCTGGGTGGGACCTTTGGGACTCAGGACCTTTGGGTGGGACCCACTCTGGTCCTGAGGGTCTCCCAGGGCCCTTTGTGCTGAGTCAGCGAGATTTTGGGATGTTGGGAAGGGAAGGACACCCTTCCCCCTCCCCTGGTGGCTGAGCTGCCCCCAGGGACCTTTGGGTGGGATCTTTGGGACCGAGGACCTTTGGCCCAGGGGTCCCCGAGGCCCTTTGTGCTGAGTCAGTGAGATTTTGGGATGTTGGGAAGGGAAGGACACCCTCCCCCCTCCCCAGGGTGGTGGCTGAGCTGCCCCCAGGACCTTTGGGTGGGACCCACCCAGAACTGCCCCCAGGGACCTTTGGGTGGGACCTTTGGGACTCAGGACCTTTGGGTGGGACCTTTGGGACCGAGGACCTTTGGCCCTGGGGTCCCTGAGGCCCTTTGTGCTGAGTCAGCGAGATTTTGGGATGGACACCCTCCCCTCCCTGTGCTGGGGGCTGAGCTGCCCCCCAGGGACCTTTGGGTGGGACATTTGGGGCCAAGGACCTCTGGGTGGGACCTTTGGGGCCAAGGACCTTTGGGTGGGACCTTTGGGGCCAAGGACCTTTGGCCCCGGTCCCGAGGGTGTCCCGAGGGTGTCCCGAGGCCCTTTGTGCTGAGTCAGCGAGATTTTGGGAGGTTTTGGGGTGTTTTGGCTCCCCGGGTCAGAGCCGGGGGGTCACGAGGGCCCCACGTGCTCCTCCCTGGAGCAGCAGCAGCACTTTTGGGGTGGGAACACCCAAAACTGTGACTCAGCAGCTCCGGTTGGTCCTGCTGAGTCATCCCAGGCAGCTCGGGGGGGGGTTTGCTGGGGGGGAAGCTCCGAGTTCCCCGTTTTTGGGAGAACTTGCGGGTTGGGATCGCTCGGGGAGGAAGCCGAGGAGGGGGGGGAGAGGAAGGGGAGGTTTGGGAGCGTTGACGCTGCAGTTCTGCTCCTCCTGCAGCTCCGTGGATC